CTTGAACAACTCAAGACCTTTAAGAAGCCCTGTGAATCCCTGGTACATAGCATTGTGTCTGACAGATAAGAAAGACTTTATATTTGTTTGAACAAACAGATCACAATATGATGTTTCTGAAATTCTAAAACAGGTTGTCTATGTGAGCTACAAAAAAAGATAGGCTTTAGAGGTAAAAGGAACAGAGTTCAAGTCCTAGTTACACTACTACCTAACAGCTGTGGGACCTTAGAAACATACTTGCTATCTCTTAGTCTCAGTTCCTTATGAGTAAAGCAGGGCTAGTACATACAATAAAAGGAGCTCTGGTGGCACAGTGACTAACTAAGGCATTTCACTGCTAACTAAAATGTTGGTGGTTCAAACCCACCAGCCACTCCACAGAAGGAAGATGGGGCAATCTACTTCCGTAAAGATTTACCACCTCAGAAAGAAACTCAAATGTGGGTTGCTATGAGTTGGCATCAACTTGATGGCAATGAGTTTGCTTTTGGAATATGTACAATACTGGGTAAAAACCAGAATGAAATTGTCTAGCTTAGAGCATGGAACATGATAGCTGTTTGAAAATTTCTAGTTTCTTTCATTTTATGAAACATTTATTTGTAGGTCTATATAACAATTTAGTTAGACTGCCTCAAAAGTGTATATTATATTAGCACAGATGTTCCCATCATTATAGAAACACAGGTTTACACACAAAAGATTAAAATTATTTTAAGGATTCATAATCTTTTATGTGGGAGCTCAGGTGGCATAGCACCTAAGGCATTTGACTGATAACCAGATGTTTGGCGTTTCAAACCCACCAGCCACTCCTCAGTAGGAAGATTGGGCAATATATTTCTGTAGAGATATCGCCTTGGAAACCCAAGGAGGGGTCGCTATGAGTTGCAAATGACTTAACAGCAGTGAGCTTTTTTTGTTTTTTGATCTTCTATGTCAGCAAGATACCAGGGAGTCAAGGACTCTTTGGAGTGAGTTCCAGCTCTCCCCAGTTTTAGTTTTGTGATCTTTCAACGAGCAGATTGAGACCTCATCTATAAATTTAGGATAAATAATTCCTGTTCTACTTTTTACATAGGGTTATTGAGGGGATCAAATGAGATTACAAACAAACTGAATGTCATTTTAGAAAAAATTAGTATTAAAAAGTAAACAAGCTAATGAGATACTAGATGAGACTTTATTTTGCAAATTGTCAAGCTCTGAAAGTTAGTGTTTTTTTTTTTTTTTTTTAATTTCTTCCAAAAGACTTTAAAAAATACTCCTAACAGGCTCTCACCTAGATTTCTGAAATAGATTCTAGACACTTCCCTGCCTCCAGTCTCTCACAATTGAAACTTACGCTTTACAAACCACCATCTGATCTGTTGTCTGAAAACTATTCTTCCTTTAAAAATTTTTAGAGAAATCTAATACCTATTAAAGTTATAATAAACTCCTTGACTGTGTATCTGGGGGCTACTGAGATACGAACCAAAGCCAATGATAACCAAACAGTGGAACTAGCACTAGAGTATGCAGAGATCAAAGGCCTTGAAATGACAAGTAATTCAATAGCTCTTTGGAGTATAGTTTCTCATAGGTTGCACCTTATGTATATGTGCATCCATCTAGCTATCAATGGACATTTATTAATCAACTATTATATTTTAGGCACTCAGAATAAAAGGATGGATAAATTATAATGCATAACATCAGTCTCTTCAGTTTTGTGATTCTATTGTTCAAGTCTGATTTCCCATTGCTGCCCCACAAAGACCCAATCTATACTCACTACTCCATAATCCACATTGTTTGATTCACCTGTTAAACACTCTCCTACTTAGCATTCATTAAGGAGTCCTGGTGCTGCAGTGGTTAAAGTTTTTGGCTGCTCCACAAGCAAAAAATGAGGCAGTCTGCTTCCATAAAGATTTACAGCTTTGGAAAAACTATGGGGACAGTTCTACCACTTCTACTTTGTCCCATAGGATTGCTATAAGTCAGAATCAACTTGTGGTGGTTATGTTTGTGTGTCAACTTGGCTGGGCCTGGTTGAGTGGCTGGGCAGCTGGTTGGTGGTAGTTATTCCCCATGATGAGACTGGCAATCAACTCCATGGTGGGATCTACCAGAAGCAGCTGAATAGCTGCCTATGGGATGTTGTCTGCTTCCTGTATATAAGCAACAGCTTTGGGAATGGTCTCTAGCTTATGGCACACTTGGACTGGTGTGTAGTCATGTTGTTGTTCAGCAGCCTGTCATGCTCTGCCAACCTTGGGACTTATTATGGACTTGAATTTAACGGCCTGCTTCATGGTTTGGTAACATTGGGGCTGTGGCAGCCTCAGCAGCCAGCAGCTGTCGGAGTGAAGAAAAGCCTCTAGCTTCAGTGGGCAGGAAGGCAGAGCTGAAGCCCAAGGCTGAGGGGCTTTCACCCAGCCCCTAGAGCCTGGAACTTTGAACTTGGACTTAAAGCCTCCAAACTATGAGAGAATAAACTCTTGTTTGTTCAGGCCATTCCATCTGTGGTATATTCATGTCGGAGCAGCACCAGGTAAACACAACACAACTCGATGGCAATGGGTTTGGTTTTTGGTTTAGCAGTCAATTACATGTTCATCTTTCAAGGTTCATATTAAAGGCACTGTCTTCTAAGTAATCTTCCCTAACCCCTGAATTAGATGGGATTCCTTCCTCCTTTGAATTCCTGTAACATTTAGTTTTTCTTTTTCTCCCTCTAATACACTTTTACCTGGTATGCCTTTCCAGATAAAAAGTCTATTATCCTCATTGATGCTATAGAATAAGCTGCTTAAGAGCAAGGCCTATGTTCTTCTCCTAGAGATTCCTGTAGGGTTCAGTACAGTGCCCGATGAAACGCCCTCTCAAGAAATAAGAGATTTCTAGATAGTTAGAGCTTACTGCTTCCACCTGTTTTAACATAAACTAAGGGTATGAGTCAGGGCTGACTCGATGGTATATAACAACAACAACAACAACAAGAGTAAAAACAGTCAAAGCTCATACTGATCACGTGGTATTCTCTGACAAGATATATCTGGCAACGATCCTAGGATGGTTTAGCGAGCAGCAGAGCAAGTACCAGCTTTAGGAATAATCACACAATGACTAACAATGATAAACAAGTGTTAATATTTTATAACAATACATATTAGGTTGAACCACAAGAAATTTTTACTTACAAAAGTGGCAATTTCATATGATTCAATTTAGTACATTGCTAATTTATATATTATTTTCCTCTGCTTTGGCCTTAGCTTTCAATAAGTCCCCATGAGAGTAGGGATTTTCGCATGTTTTAGTCACTGTTATATCTCCAATGCCTGGAACATAATGGTACTCAGGAAATATTTGTTGGATTAATCAATGAATTTACCAAGAACCTATTATTTCCCTTACCCTTTGCTATGATATTTATTCTTTATACACCATTTGACTGCTAACAGAAGGCTGGCGGTTCAAACCCACCAGCCACTCCTCAGAAGGAAGACTGGGCAATCTGCTTCCGTAGCGATACTACCTTGGAAACCCAAGGAGGGGTCACTATGAGTCAGGTCTGACTTGATGGTACAGAACAACAACATATACCATTTGCTTCCTCATAATATCCTTATTTTTCTCATTCTTCAGATGAAGAAACTGAAGCTTGGAGATGTCAAGAACTTACCTAAGACCATATTCTTAACCATTACCTTATGGTAGGCCACTTATATTTATGCTATAAAAGTTGTCAAAATTAGAACTATATTTCCTCTTTTGACTAGACCATGTACAGATTGTACTGGGAACAGTGAGAAATTTTAGGATACCCCCCCCCCCCAAAAAAAAAGTGAGAGGAGAAGCTCATGAGGTGGAGAGATGGGTTTGGGGAAGCTGTTTGTTCTTGGTGAAATATTGTATGAAACAGTATCTAAAAATTATTCTCAGTCCTGCAGGTCCTCTGTCTGAAGGTGGGGCTCTTCAATTGTTTTGAGACTTGCAGTCCCACAACTGGTGTTATTTACTTGGAAACAAGGGGTGGATGATGGGTAGCTTTTGCCTGCAGCTTACAAGTGAGACTCTCCTGTAAGCAAGGGAGTATTCTGACCCATTTTATCACTTCCTCTGTGTATGAAGTTAGGGGTCTAGTCTTTCAAAATCCTGCTTCTTTAAATGTGATACAAAGACTTTTTCCTAATCTATCTATGAGACTATAGTGTCAAAAACAGTAAGTAAATAGTGCTTTTAAATGAGGGAGCTTTAATTTTGAAATTTGCTGATGTTACTCATTCCCCCTCAGTGCACATATACAGTTTATCTTTCAGATAGGGAACAGTGTGACCTTGGGACAAGTTGTTCAAGAACAGGGTAATAATCTATTAGTTCCATTCTTTTTGATGCCATGGGTCTCAGGTCCTGTGGAGGGTATTCCAAGAGTGGCTCATTATAATTTTCACTCCTGATGAAATGTCCTTTCCGTTCACCCTGAAAGAATCAGTTCACTTTCTAAGACATGGGATCAGACCAGTCCCAATATATATTTTCTAAAAGTTGAAAAAAGATAAATGGAAGGTTTCTCATACTTCCTGAAGTAAAATGAATAATTTTGTGCAGTCACAAAATCAGGGTGACCCTCTTAGATGATTAATCCTTTGAGATTTATAAGACATTTTGAAACACAGAAAAAAGGGCCAACATTTGTTTCTAGAACTTTTAGTCTAACCCTGGAAGTTGGTAGGCTATGCAAGGTCTAACTGCATAGGAACCCAATTTAAACATGATTCTAAAAGAGAGATTGCTTCTTTAGTCTAATGACAGCACAATTCAAGTGTAAAGATGAAGGTAGGACTCTATTTTTCAGAATGAATGGGGCATTCACCATACAGAATCATTTCTCCTATGTCAGAAGCAAACACAACAGATAGTCCTTTCTAAGTGATTGAAGGTGGCACAAAATATAAACAATAAACTGTAAGAATACCAATGGAGAAAAATACACCCAGAATTCTCACCAGTTTGGAGCTTTCAGTTTCAGGCAATTGTCTAATACCAACTTCCAAACTGTCATCTTGCTCACTACTAACAGGTTCGGTGCCACTCTGATCCTATGGAACATTAAAAAAGAAAATGGCAAAGATGTCATTCTTCAATCATACTGTAATCAAACTGCACACAACCTTCATCACTGTTGCTTGTTTTATTGTTGTTTTCTCTCTAGAAGTCATTCCTGTTTTCTTCCTTTCTAGTGGACCACCAATTCTTTTCCAGGTGTCTGTCCTTCTGGCCATGCAGTATGTATTAGGGGAAGTGGAGCCTTATTCTCTGTTCCAGGCCTAACTGCCTTAAGGCTAATCCCCTTCTATTTGCTAATGAGTTAGTCAGGAATGGGCATGTGACTTTATTCTGTCCAATGAGATTCAGAGAGGTTTGTGGGTGACTTCCAGAAAAGTTCTTCCTTGATCTTAAGACAGAGCCACAAGAAGTTTCCACATCTCCCAAATTAACAAAAAAGCATAAAGAAAAATGGCCATGGGTAGCCATTTGATAGCCATGAGGAAACCAACCTTAGCCTGAAGCTGACACTGTAGATGACAGGGAAAATATAAAGAGATAGAAAACATTGGTTCTTTGATGGCAAAACTGGGCCACTGAATCAACCAATTCTGGAGTCCAGCCTTACGTTTGGCCACCATTATGGACTGAAAAGGTAAGTTGAAGTCCTAACCCTCAATACCTGTGAATGTCACCTTGTTTGGAAATAAGGTCTTCAGTTAACATGAGTTCTTATTAGAGTGTTGTTGTTGTTGTTTTCCGTCTAGTCATCCCCGACTCATAGCGACCCCTCCTTGGGTTTCCGAGGTAGTATCACTACAGAAGTAGGATTGCCCAACCTTCCTTCCGAGGAGTGGCTGGTGGGTTTGAACCGCCAGCCTTCTGGTGAGCAGTCAAGTGCCTTAGGCACTATGCTACCAGAGCTCCGTCTTATGAGAGTAGGGTAGGTCCTAATCCCACCTGAGTGGTGTCCTTATAAAAGAGGAGAAGAGACACGGAGACAAAGAGGAAACATGGCCATGTCAAGATGCCTTGGGCTACCAGAGCTGAGAGAGACAGAAAAGAAATCTCCTCCTAGAGCCTTTGGCTAGACCATAGCCCTGTTGACACCCTGAATTTGGACTCTTAGCCTCCAAGAATGTGAGAAATTAAAGTTCTGTTGTTTAAAGGCACCCAGTTGCAACTGACTTCTGCAGAGATACAGCCTCAGAACCCCAAGGAGGGATCGCTATGAGTCGAATCGACTCGATGGCAGTGAGTTTGGTTTTTTTGGTTTGTAGTTTGTGGCATTTTGTTACAGCAGCCCTAGGAAACTAATAGACTCATTTTCTATGAGTTAATACTTTTCCTTATTGTTTCAGCCAGTTTGAGGCAGCTATTCAGTTACCTCCAACCAAAGCCTTTTAAACTGAGGCATAGGATTCTAAGCTATTTGAAATAAGGAGCTGTATTTATTTTGTTATTTCTGAAACTGGTCCCCAGCAAGGTGTCTGGCACACAGAATGCCCATGACAACTACTGGCTGAACCAATGACTGAACTGAGTACTTGTTTTCTCGATAATTCCGCTTTTCAGCAGACTCCTTTATGTATTTAATTAATATAATTGAAACATCTGATAATAATAAACTCTATTAAAATTCTAAAACATAGTAGACATCTTCTCAATATATGATATATAAAATGTTCTAGCTCTTTAACCAGAGGTTTCTTTACTTTCTGGGAGTATTTAAGGGAGGATAAAGATGGTAATAAAGTAGCTACTTTGTATTTATCTAGATTTTAATTTTAAAACATCATTATCCTGGCATTACCACACTCTTGGGTGTGATTATTTGTAGAGAAATCAGCTGATTTGGGGGCATTTAACTTCATTCAAAATGTAAGAAATACAAATTAAAGCAAAGAGATAATATTCTTTCATCTATCAAATGGACAAGAGAATAATCAGTAATGGTAATTTGAGGAAAACAGTAATTTTTACACAATATTGAAAGAACTGTAAATTAAGACAACCTTTTCAAAATTAAAGCAAAGTCATATGATTTACAATGTGCGTATTTCTATACTAAAGAATCCTAGGATATATGACAAATATGATTGCACAAGTGTGCAAAAGGTATTTGATGCAGCACTATTTGCAATAACAGTAGAGACAAGAAATAAAAATGTCCATCGATAAAGCATGGTTAGTAAATTATTTTAAGTCTATGCAATGGAACACAAGACAGAACACATAAAGAAAGAAGCAACATGGAAGACACCTACAACATTATGTTATATGTTATATGAAAAAATGTCAGATGCAAAACAGCACATATAGTATGAATCCAGTTCTTTAGTAAAAAAAAAAAAAAAAAAAAAAACCAACATGAATATGGAGTTATAGATACATGCAGAGAAAATACCTGGTAGTAAGTAGAACAAATTTTAAAAATTGACTTCTGGGGAATGGATGAGGGAATGGAACATTTTTTCATTCATTATTTCTACAGTGTTTGAATAGAGAAGAATCAGAATAATTAGCATATATTACTTTTTTTTTTTTTTTAAGAAGGGCTATGAGCAATGTCTAAAAGACAAAAAGGAAGAAAAATCAAGAAAGAAAATAGCGTAGACTTTAGAATATGTCAGATCTAGGTTCAAATCTCAACTTGAGGGCACATTACTTTCTAAATCTCAGAGTATTTGTTTATAAAGTACAGACAATAACACCAGATTAAAAAATACTGTCCTATCAAGTTGCTCTGAGGATTAATGAGTTAACATAAAATGTCTATTAGTACCATACCAAATGCAATGAACAATTTTGAGCTTTTTGTTGAGCCAGGCTTTTCATTCACACTGTTTCATGTATTACTTACGATAACTCTGCATTGGTATGTATTATTGTGATCTCAATTCATGGATGAGAAAAATAATGTACTTTAGGTCACTTACTAAAGAACTGCTTGCCAGTAAGGTAGATATAGGATTCAAAGACAGGTAAGGCAATGCTCTGGGTAACTATGTTCTACTTATTTCTTTTAATATTAAGTATTGATAATTAATCTATGGAAGAAGAGATTCACAGTCTTTCCAAAATCATTAATTAATGGGAAAAACAACGTCCAAACTATTTAGTAAAACTGATTCTGTAAGCTGTAGGGCACCTGGTATCCAACTGGAGCTTCAAACCAGTCAATGTTTATAACTTCAGCACCCCACCTTGTAGAATAAGCCTGAAAGTAGCTACTCCAGTAACCTGGCAAATGGATAGCTCTTGTACCCTTTCGTGAGAGAAGATTTACACCAGGACAGTGGTCACCTGATGTCACTCATCTAATCATGTGTATGTTTCCATGGGGAACAGAAAGTGTTAAAACAAATTTTCAATTAAATTACAAAAATCTTTAATTTTACATTTCTCAGCAATCTGGGTACAGTACATAAGATTTTTTTGATAGTTATCAAATGAATATTAAAATGAGTGTAAAAGTAACTGTTTAATTGCTGCTTCAACTTGGAAAATTTAACATAGGTGAGCCAGCATAGGTTCTACATGGTATAAACTCACTGCGGTCAAGTCGGACCCCACTCATAGCAACCCCTCCTTGGGTTTCAGAGGCAGTATCACTATGGAAATAGATTGCCCAACCTTCCTTCCAAGGAGTGGCTGGTATAAGCATCCTTTTATATTTGAATGAATAAATAAATAACCTCCACATCTACATCTTATACATCCAAACTAGAGGCACAAATGAAGTAAAATTTTTAATTCCAAGCCACGTCTTAAATGAATCACTTATTCCATAAATCCTTCCCTTCTCCTTGTTAAGTGCCTCTAAGTTGGTTCTTACTAATAACATACTATATGCAACAGAATGAAGCACTGCTTGGTCCTGCACCATCCTTACAACTATTGCTGTGTTTAAACCCATTGTTGTAACTACAGTGTGGCCCTTACCTGGGAGGTAATCTCTCTTTCCTTTTAAAACCACCTAATATTTTACCTAAACTTCCTACAGCATTTATCACTTTTCTTATGCCATTTGTCAATTTTGTATTTATAGGTACAGAATATATCTCCCCAATGAGACTGAGAGATCCTTGAATCCAACATCTCTGTCTTATTCATTTGCTTTGTCTGATTCACTTTTATACTCATCCTAGGTCTGTTTCATTCCAAAGTCCATGTCCATGTTCCTTTTAAGTACACCATGCTTCCCTTCTAAAACTTTTCCTGTTTTTAGTTAATGGTTTAATCTGAGATGGCTCCATAGAGGAGCGGTTGAAGCCAAAATCTAGATAGAGAGTAAAGTAAAGCAGAAATAGGAATTAAGAGAGGTTAGCAATAACCATTTACTTTTCTGGGAGAGCTGAAGATTATAAAACAATGTTCATGCTTAAATGGGGCATAGCCAAGAACAACGTGGATTCTGTTCTGAGAACAGAATACCTTATGTGGTAGAGTCTTCAAAATATCCCCACTCACCAGGAGCTTAGAAAACAGCAATCAATCAGTGATGGGAAGGGATACTAGGTCAGCAAGCATGATTTCTAAGGCACAATTGTATCACAGTAGTTTGAAGACCATCTGGCTGATGGATGGTGGCCCACTGACACGTAAGATGATTCAGCCAATCCAGATGGGTGGGTGTCCCTTCCTCTCTTACTGATCTTCAAACCACCTGTCCAAAGCTGCTAGCTCAGTGAAGGCTGCTCAAGGAGAATGACCATTCTCCATGAAGACCACAGTCAGTAGATTCCACTGTGAATTATATTTTATAGATGAAGGAAAGGAAAAGGCAAGGCTCTGATCCTGTGCTGAACACAGCCTTTCTAAAAAGACTGGGAAGAAATGCTATTTTCTCCACTGAGAAGTCTTTTTAAATCTTGGAAGTTAATCATTCCCTCCCATGGGCTCCTCTACATAGAGTGATGATAGATTTATTTTATTTTATTTTTTCCATATTCCCTAACTAGTTCCCATCAAGTCAATTCTGATTCATGGCAACCCCATGTGTGTCAGAGTACAACTGTGCTCTATAGGATTGTCAGTGGCTAATTTTTCA